CTCTCTCTCTCTCTCTCTCTCTCTCTCTCTCTCTCTCTCTCTCTCTCTCTCTCTCTCTCTCTCTCTCTCTCTCTCTCTCTCTCTCTCTCTCTCTCTCTCTCTCTCTCTCTCTCTCTCTCTCACATCACCGACCTCTCAAAAATTAGTTCTATGTTGTTTACAATGTTCGCAAAATCGAACCGGAACGATTAACTGGACATGGGCCCGAAAGCGATTTAACCGACCTAACCGGTAAACCGGCCGATTCAACCGCTCTAACCGGGCAAGTCCCGTACAATCAAAAAAGTGTTAAAAAAATAAAAAAGATACAAAAAAAAATCCATTAAAATATAAAAAGCATATAAAGAAAGTGATTAAAACAAAACACACTCAAATGAAGTTGAAAATTATGAAAAAAATGGATTTTAACGAATCGATTTGTGCATAGGGGTATTTTTAAAATTTTTTGAAAAAGATGGGAAAATATAAAAGTATCATTGACCAAAAAAAAAATATTATTTACCATAATGTAAAGAATATTAACTTAGTGTTAAAAAAATTGAGTTGACCAACTCTTTTTTTTAAAGAAAATGAAGAAAAACTTAAGTTATATATAATGTGGGAAAAGGTTAGATAGAGCTGAGGCTCTAAACAATCAAATTCGAGCCTACCTCAAAACGTTTACTAGAAGATATTATTTTGATGCCCAAATATCCTCAAATTCATTATCTTGATATCAAGATGCATGGACATGATAAAAAAATGGATTTCAAGTTTTAGAAATAGTGTATTTTGTAAAGCACTTTTGGACCGTCAAATTTCAAGATTTTCAAGTTTTCATAGATCTCTTGATCTACATTATTTTTTAAGCTTTAAAATTTATAAATAAAGATGAAAATATATTCAAGGCTACCAAAAAGATTTTCGATATTGAAACCATATTCTTAACACTATTTGAAGGTTAGGCTTTAATTTGATTGTTTAGAGCCTAAGCTCTATACAAACCACACCCATATAATATAGGCCCTTCTTTTTGTCAACTAGTAGTAAATGGTGTATTTGTTAGTGGGTCTAATAATAAAGGACTTGTTTCAAGTTCGATTCCTAATTTGTTTGAATCAATGACGAAATGAATTTGAACTCTTAAAAGAAAAAACGAGAAAAAAACACAACGTTGGGATTCGAACCATAATTCACATGCAACTTAACCATTGAAGTTAACCAATAAAACATTATAATATATCTAATATAAACTTGAAGTAGCATTGTATGTAAAGTTTAAAATATCAGTTGATCACCAAAACTGTCCAAAACCGAAACCGGCCACTAGCCGGTTACGATCTAATCAGGCGGTTACCGATTAGATCGGCCGGTTTTGCGAACACTGGTTGTTTACCATTGTAGACTACAAAAAAAGAAGCACATAATGAGGGTGACAATGGACCCGACCAAACCTGGGACCCGACGAGCTAGACCCGAGACCCAACGAGTACGGGTATGGGTCCAACTTTTGGACCCGACGGGTCTAGTCTGAGTCTAAAACCTAGACTCGAATACATTCGGGTCTGGATCCGGGTCTAGTCGGACCCGAGCCATAGCCGACCTATTGCCACCCCTAGTGATGATGATTCTGAAGCCACCCTATCCCAACCAAATTATTCACATACCGAATCCTAACAACAAGCAGTTAAAGGCGAGCATGACAGTGTAGATAAGCATAAAGGATGGACAAGCTTCGAGGATTTTGAATTAGGAACGCAACAAAACACTAACACTCAGGAATTTGGATATAATCAGGTAACTACTAATTTTGATGAGTTGTTCTGAGATCAAGTCAATAAATTGTCACACGAATTCAATGAATAGCATCAACATGATCAAGATGAAAAACAATAGTCTTTTATTTTTGTTTTAGATCGTATTTTACAAATTGTATGCTTTATTGTAGTCCATGTATAATTATATACTTTATCCATGATAACTTTATGCTTCTTCTTTTATGTGATGTAAATTTAATGGCTAAAAGTAGTTCATACAAAGAAGAAACATCTCAATACTCTCATATTGATGTAAAAAATGAAATTTATTAATTTAACACCAACATTTCTTATTGGATCCCTAAAAAACAACATTTGTAATGATTTTTAATATATATTTTTGATTTTTTTAAGGCCGAATCCGATCGATTCAACCAATTCTCAATCTAAATCACAAATTCACCGATCCTGATTGATTTTTGAGGTGTCCGACGGGCACAATCCATTTTTTAAACCTTTGATAGTTTATAATATCAAAAGGAGGCTACTATCATCTTGCGAAAGAATCCTGCTTGCCCAAAAACACCAAAGACCAATGTCGTTCACTCTTGCCCCCTTTTTACCCACATAATTTTCCGCCCACATAATTTTCCAATAAAGATTTTGAGAAGAGAGAAAGGGATACATATAAGGAGAGAGTGACCACCTCGTTTAATATATAACTAGATATTTAATTGCTATCATTTGCCTTCTTCCTCAATTACTGTACTTCGAATTTCATATTTGTCTATTTCTTTCTACATAATTATTTGGGATGCAATTTTCCTTAACCGCTATTAAGTACAACCCAAATGCCCATTATGCCTTCACTATAATAGCGGTCGGTACTTCAGTTTTCTTGCCTGTTTCCCCGCACAGAGTAAACTATACACTTATTTTGTCAGATAAACAGGTTTACTTAAGAAAATTCATCCGACGCAAAAAATTTGACTTCCAATTTATTATCACCAAATGGGTATCTAACAGAAAAGAAAACATAAATTTTAAGTTCCCAAATGCTTAGATCTCCACAGTATCATAACTCAACCATCTTTCTTCACTGGCTGATGTTATTTTCCTTGAGCACAAATAGTTCGGTTAAGGCTCGGATGATAATTTCTACAGTGCACAGGAAATAGCCACCTAAATTGAGGTTGCATCACCAAATTTTGAAAGTCCTAGAGATACTCTGCTACACAAGATTTTTCCAGAGGGAGTGAATATCTGATATGTTCAGTGAGAGCATATAATTTTTGTTATGATTTTGGATCCAATTTCTTTTCCTTTTCCTGCTATCAGATCACATGTCTCTTATCCTCCTACCATGAAAACATGGTAGTTCTTGAAATAACCCACATTTACTCCAACTCCAAACACCTGAGCCCTTCTCATAATGCCCAAAGTTTTCATTTTTCTTTTACCAGATATCATTAATATAACATGGATTTCCAATTCCAGCCTCTACCTACCCCAAACATACTTGGCATCTTCCTTTATTAAGAATTTAGAATGAAATGTTGGACACTCAAATTGATAATTTAAGAAAGCACAAGATGAGAGAGAGAGAGAGAGAGAGAGAGAGAGAGAGAGAGAGAGAGAGGAGGGAGGGAGGGAGGG